GCTGAACTGCTGATCTAGCAGTAGCCTGCAGTGCTGCATTTAACCACTGCGCCACCTTGGCTCAATAACTCCCAGTAGCATTCACAGGGCTGAGTGCAAAGGTGAGACGGTAGAAGCCGTGTTATGACATAAGGACATGCATCACAGTACTTCATCTGCTATCTTGCTTTTTTTGACTCTAAGCAGATGCTGGTATCTTGTGCCAGAGCTGGAGGAAAATACATCCACTTTCATTATTTTCCTTCCCCCTGACTATCTCTAAAAGATTGAATGACCTTACATTAGATCAAAGTAGGTAGGCTGCGGACTTCGTGCCTTCCCCGGGCACATGCATACAGCTTCCGGAACATCCTGAAATCAGCCCTGTTTTGGGCAACACAGATTTCCACTTAAAGTTCATAAGCTAGTGAGCCTGAGGTTTGCCCTTCGTTTATATGCAGTAGCTTGTCCTGCCAGTGTTGGTGGGGAAGTGGTTTTCTCCTCGATAAGATAGTGTTTTCTGCTTGATTGTTTGTGTGATAGCTTCTTGATTAGGGTAATTGTTTGCTCTCTTTTTGTCTAATCTCTGCTTATCTGGGTGTTAGCTGCTGAAGAGAATGTGCTCTGATCTTTTTGTTTACTTCTTAACCTTTTTATTGTCTCTCTTGAATGATGTGTAAATATGGTTTAGCTCAATGTGTCTATTGATGGCTGATTTGTCTGAGTGACAAGCTTCCAGGAATTCCCTAGTGTTTTGGCTGCTTATTCACCCATGGCGATTCAAGGCGGCTTACGGAATAAAAACCACATTTAAAACAATAAAAACTAACAAAAAGTATCAAATGAATTAATATAGTACAGTATAACAAAATCACCCAATGACAGCAGATCACATTAGCCATTTAATGGGCTCCATCCCGCTCTTGGTTCCCCAGACCTGCGGGCAGAACCAGGTCTTCAGAGCCTTCTGGGAGTGTATTAGAGTGCGGGCCATTCTAATCTCTAGGGGAATGATGTTCCAGAGACAGGGAGCCACCACGGAGAAGGTCCTTCTTCTGGGTCCCATCAGGTGTATCTCCCTTGGAGATAGGACCCGCAACATTCCCTGCCTCCCTGCTCTGATGGGTCGGGTAGATGTGACCAGCAAGAGACGGTCCCTCAGATAATCTGGTCCCAAGCCATTGAAGGGCTTTATAGGTGACTACCAGCACCTTGAATTGCAATTTACCTTGGGATGCGGTGGCTTAGTGGCTAAGAAGCTGAGCTTGTCAATCAGAAAGGTTGGCAACTCGGTGGTTGGAATCCCTAGTGCTTACTTGTCCCAGCTTCTGCCAACCTAGCAGTTCACAAGCATGTAAAAATGCAAGTAGAAAAATAGGAATCACCTTTGATGGGAAGGTAACAGTGTTCTGTGCTCCTTCGGTGTTTAGTCATGCCAGCTACATGACCACGGAGACGTCTTCGGACAGCGCTGGCTCTTCGGCTTTGAAACGGAGATGAGCACCATCCTCTAGAGTTCAGAATGTATGTGCAAGGAGAACCTTTACCTTCAGGTCTCTAGGATGTTCACAGTTTCCCAGTTGAAACTATGGTTAAATCTGTCCGTGTGCTTTGAAATTAAGGAATTTTCATTGTGGCTTCTGACTGATAATTGGCATTCATGGATGAGCTCTGCTAGTCTTTTGTTTGTCCTACATAGCAGCTGTTATGATCCTTAATTTATGATGATTTCTGTTCTTTTTCTTCTTGTCAACCGAGTCTTTTGGTTTACCCAAAACATTTGACTTGGGGGAGGGAGGAATGGGGGGATTGACTTGTGTGCTATGGTGATGGTTGTGGTTGTACAGGTAGTCCTCCACTTATGACCATGATTGAGCCTAACATTTCTGTTGCTAAGTGAGACATTTGCTAAGTCAGTTTTGCCTCACTTTACGACCTTTCTTGCCACAGTTGTTAAGTGAATGGCTGCAGTTGTTAAGTTGGTAACATGCTTGTCAAGTGGCTCAGGCTTCCCCATTGACTTTGCTTGTCAGAAGATCACAAAAGGGATCACGTGACCCCGGGACACTACAACCGTCATAAATATGAATCTGTTGCCCACGTGTCTGAATGTTGATTACCTGACCATGGGGATGCTGTAATGGTTGTGAGTCAGAGGTGGTATTCAGCAGGTTCTGACCAGTTCTGGAGAACTGAAATTTTGAGTAGTTTGGAGAACCGGTAAATACCACCTCTGGCTGGCCTCGCCCCCATCTATTCTCTGCCTCCTGAGTCCCAGCTGATCGGGAGGAAATGGGGATTTTGCAGTAACCTTCCCCTGGCACGCCCACCAAGCCATGCCCACAGAATCGGTAGTAAAAAAATTTGAATCCCATCACCATGCTTGTCAAAGCATCCCCATGGTCATGTGATCAAAAACCAGATGCTTGGCAACTGGCATCTACTGCCTTACAATGAAAATGCTGGTCGCAATTGTGGTCATAATTTGAGAACTACCAGTATCTAGAAAATTCCATGGTGTTGTGAAAAATCTTCAGTCTTCTGAATATTTCCTTGGCTTTGCTACTGGTTGTTACTGAGTGTCACGTGGGTCCTACCAAGCTATAAAGTTTGAGAAAACAAATTGTGATGATGCTTTGGTAACATTCACAGAATTTTTTTTACTGAGCTGTGGGTATGCACACCGATTATGTTCACAATGACCATGGGGATGCTGTAATGGTTGTGAGTCAGAGGTGGTTTTCAGCAGGTTCTGACCAATTCTGGAGAACCAGTAGTGGAAGTTTTGAGTAGTTCGGAGAACCAGTAAATACCACCTCTGACTGGCCCCGCCCCCTATTCTCTGCCTCCCGAGTCCCGGCTGATCGGGAGGAAATGGAGATTTTGCAGTAACCTTCCCCTGCCACGCCCACCAAGCCACACTCACCAAGTGTGCTATGCCCACCAAGCCATGCCCACAGAACTGGTAGTAAAAATTTTTGAATCCCATCACTGTTGTGAGTGTGAAAAAATTGTTTTTGTAACTTTGAACGGCCACTATATGAATTGTTGTAAATCGAGGACTACCTGTACTATATATCTGCAAACAAACCATCGAGTTCAGAGAGCACCAAAGACTCCAGCCCTGAGCTACATGTATAATTTCTGTTGGTAATTAAGTAGTGTGAATAAAGCACTTCTAATTGTAGTACTTTTAACCCTACAAAGGTCTCTGTCACGCCAGGAAGCTAGTTCTGGTGAGGATTGTGAACCTGTTGATAAGAGCCATAGTGAAGGGACACGGTAGCTCAGTGGTTAAGATCAGAAAGGTCGGCGGTTCGAACCCCTGAGCTCCAGTTACTTGTCCCAGCTTCTGCCAACCTAACAGTTCGAAAGCGTGTAAAAATGAAGGTAGAAAAATAGGGACCACCTTTGGTGGGAAGGTAACAGCGTTCCGTGCACCTTTGGCGTTTAATCATGCCAGCCACATGACCACGGAGACGTCTTCAGACAGTGCTGGCTCTTCGGCTTTGAAATGGAAATGAGCACCGCCCCCTAGAGTTGGGAACAAATAGCACATATGTGCGAGGGGAACCTTTACCTTTAAGTGCCATTGTGGCGCAGTGGTTAGAGGGCAGTACTGCAGGCTACTTCTGCTGACTGCCGGCTGACTGCAATTTGGCAGTTTGAATCTCACCAGGTTCAAGGTTGACTCAGCCTTCCATCCTTCCAAGGTTGGTAAAATGAGGACCCAGATTGTTGGGGGAAATAGGCTGACTCTGTAAACCGCTTAGGGAGGGCTGTAAAGCACTGTGAAGTCTAAGTCCTATTGCTATTGTAAATCAATGGGTCTGCTTTATTTTTCTGCTGGGCTAGTACCAGGAGGCAATACATCTGTTTCCCTTATTAGCATTTTTTTTAAACAAATGGAAAACTGGGCCACCTCTTGGCATGGAGCTTTGCAGTGCTACCCCATTCAGACAAGAAAGGCTTAATATCATGTTTTTCCCATGTGTTGATCTACTTCGTGGCTCTCCAGCTGCTGTGCTGTTTTTCTTGTTGACCAGTTTTTGATTGCCCTACTTCACCCGCATACCTGCCATACTGTTGCCTTCATTACACAAATGCAGAGTCATGGGAAGAGTGACTATTCTGAGGAAAGAAACAGGTGCCGATTGAATGTAAAGATTGTAAAAAATCTGTTTATGTCTCTGTTCTTCCTGAAACACTTTGTCACTCAACCCCTTGCTCTTTGTTCTGTTGAAGCAGTCAGGTATAACTACTTAGAGCACGTGAAAGATACTGAGCTTGTCAGCTGGAAAGCTGAGAGCCCATGTTCAAGACCCGAGCATCGTGTGATGGGGCGAGCCCCTGTTACTTGCCCCAGCTCCTGCCGACCTAGTAGTTTAAAAGCATGCAAATGCCAGTATCAACCCTGAAGCGAACCTGGCTGGGGTCATCTTTGAGGCTTCAGGATTGCCGCTAGATGGCAAGGAGAGGGAAATAGTTAACTGGGGTTTTGCAGTCAAAACAAAAGGTTTTCCTGTGGGAACCAAGGTCGTTCCAACAAGTGGTTGGGAGAGTAGGAGCGAAGTAGCCAAGTAACCGGCCAACACCTCTATTGGACCATGTGACTGATGACTTGGGGAAAGGGGAAAACTTTTCTCTTTAATTAGGTGAAAACCGAAGGGAACTTTCAGAGTCGATTTTCATCAGTTGTGCTAATATGATGTATCCGATAAAATTGTTCTTTGAGGAATTGACCTGCCTCAGAGTTCTGCTTCCTAGGGGTGCATTATAGTGAGTAGATAAATAGGTACCACTTCAGTGGGAATGTAACCGCATTCTGTGCACCTCGGCATATAGTCATGCTGACCACACGACCATGGAAAATTCTTCAGACAAGGTTGTCTCCCTTGGCTAAGAAATTGAGATTAGCACCACTCCCTAGAGCTGAGATGGCAAACCTATGGCACATTTATTTTATTTTATTTTATTTATTTATTTATTTATTTATTTATTTATTTATTTATTTATTTATT